TTTGTTCCCCCCCCCCCCCCGCAATCTAATGAATTCCTGAGAACTGTGGAAATTTGGGTCCCAACAGTGACATCACAATTATCTAGGGGAAACTCCAAGAGAATCTTGAGCATTTTCCTCCCACGAGCCCTTTGCTTAATTATGCAGGATAACCAAGGTATAAATTTCTGTTTTGAAGAAAGCTCCCCAGTAATAGAAACATACCTTAGCAAGTCCCAGCCCCCTTTAAAAAATGAAAGCAGTCTAGCCATTGGTTTGAAGCTTAATTGTATTCCTTTCGAAAGTAATAGTTTCATTTCTGGACTGGGATGGGTTTTTTTCATTTCTGAGAAGCTGTTCAGTAGGGGCTGCTGACGGATCTGTTACAGGGCTGCTGTGAAGCTGTTGGTGACTTTGCTAAAGAAAAGGTAATACAGTGTGAAGGAGGCTTCAGTTGGTGTGTAAATGCTATAATATTAGAATGGTGGACATTGTTGCCTTTCTAAAACCACAGACAGACTTCAGGAGCTTAAGTATGAGTTACTAAAGGTACTTGAACATTTCAGACATTTTCTCTAATTTCCCTTTTCTGGGGAGGGGCACTTAAAAGATTAAATTGCATCTGTCTATATTAATTTTGCAAGATTCTTAATTTTAGGTTCAGTCTAAACTCTTTGAAAATGTGTCTGATTGATACAAAAGTGTAGTCAATCATGGTCAGTAGTACAGAAACTAGAGGAAGTGAAAGAAATTTGATCCACTGGTTAGTTTTTTCCATAGGTCCTGCTACAAAAAAACCCCACTTACTAGATTGTCTTAGAAGTTTTTGCTGCTCAGCTTGAAATGCCAGGAAAACACGTAGCTACAAAAATTTGTAAGGATCATATCGTCCAGTTGACTAACAGGCTGTCATGAGCCTTATTTTAATAAAGTAGAGCCTGTATGTCCCTTCCTTTACAAATATTCCCTTTCTTAGTGACTTCTAACTTATTTTGGATAAAATTATCCAGTAGATGCTTCTGTTTGCTGTGAAGGAAAGGAGAAGTAGAAGGGGGTAGGCAGAGACCCCATTCTGTGTATTCTTCCATGAAAGCCTTGCTGCATAAGATCTTTGGGTGTAGAGCTCATTGGTTTTAAAGGAGCTATGATGAAGTTGGTAGAGGCATCAAATCTCTGCCCCTGCTTCCTTGCAGAATAGAAATATACTCTCCAGCTTCTGTTGGTAGAACTTGTTAATGCTTTCTACCCTCTCTGGATAGAAGGTGTGTGGGGCATATTGGCATCTGCTGCATGAGCAAATGGGAGATTCAAAAACCAAGTGGAGATGAGGCTGTGGCCTCAGTGTTCCTCATAGTACAGCATCCTGTCTTTTGGATGTGGCCACTGATTCTTCCCACTTGCAGTCAAGGAGCAAAATAATTGATGTTTGAGTTTGTATGACCTGATGGGGATCACTGGATCTATCTCCAGGAAAGAAACCAGTGACATTTTATTTATGCTGATTAAATCAGCTGGAGCCTGAGACTACTTTTTGTAAGCTGTGATTAGAGTGTTGCCTTTAAAAAATATAAAGAGCCAGAAAGCTTTCCTGGGGTTTTTTTTCCTTTACCTGTGGCTGTCAGCTTTCAATTGAGAGTGGAAACTGACTCATTACATATGGCCTTGTCCTTGTGGCTTCAGATAAAGAGCCATCCTTTGTAGTACTAGTACAGTAGTCTTGTGAGATATTTTATTGTACAATATATTGGACTTTAAAACGCACAGAATGAAGAGCTTGGTCCTGCAGATACCCATGTTAGAGTCTTGTGAAAGTCCTGGTAATAATGCCTTTGGAACCAATGGGACTACTCGCATCATATAAGTACATCAGGAGCGTGCATCAGGATCTGGGGGAACGCCTGTTCACCAGAGCGCCCCAAGGGATGACAGGGTCCAATGGTCACAAACTCCTCTAAAACCGTTTTAGGCTGGACATAAAGAAAAACTTCTTTACTGTCTGAGCCCCTAAAGCCTGAAATAAACTCCCTCCAGAGGTGGTGCAAGCACCTATTCTGGAGTCCTTTAGGAAGCATTTGAACGCTTATCTTGCTGGGATCCTTTGATGCTAACTGACTTCCTGCTCTTGGGGCAGGGGGCTGGAATCTATAAAATCTATGAAATCATCGGTGTGACTTGTGCATAAATGTTTGCATATGATCAAACTATATAATTGTATTGCCTTTTTGTTAACAATATGCAACACCGTCTGTCAGCAGACACTTGTGTTACTATCAAATGGTTACTGATTATTAATTTTATGACGGCATACTTACATTGTAAATTTTTCTTTTAGGCCATGTGTTAAATAACTAGGCTAAAGATCAAAGTTCTGATGCAGTCTCTACCAACAGTTACCACCAAAGCAAATGCAGCAGCTGGCATTCATTTTTTTTTATTTGGCTTCTTAGGAAAAAGAGATCAAGCTTCTGACTGCAGAGATTGATCGACTGAAGAACTTTGGGTGCTTGGGAGTGTCCCCGAGCTTGGAGGCCTTGCGAGAGGAAAACACAAAGCTTAAGTATCGGCTGAATTTTCTTAGAAAGGTGAGGAATAGAAAACAGTTTGAGTGCTGTGTATGCTTTCCTTAATAAGCAGATGACTTATTTTTAGGGTTCTGCTCTTTCACAACTTGTTGATGATTTGGTATACTTGCTCACTGAGCATAATTTCTCATTAACATTCTTCAAGTAGGGCTGTTCTGTTGGAGAGAGATGCTGCTGACATCCCCTAGTAGGTATGAAAACATTTGTAATAATATGAACAATGTTGCTACTAAAGGAAGTAATTCACTTGGCTAAGTTTTAAAAGGTGGAGCATGTGTACTAAACATCTGAGAATGGAGGGTAAAGAAATGGCAGGTGCAGTAATTTCATCAAAAATTAATAAAAAAGAAAACGGGAATAATGTGTTTCTGATAGGGGTGCATCAATAGAGATTTTTGGGGCCGATACCAATAGCCGATATTTAAGGAGGCATATAGGCTGATACCGATCCCATTTCCAATACAGCTGCCTCCAGACGGTAAGTCCAGTGTGGTGGAAGGGGAGGGAAGAGGCGTGGTGGGGGCAGATCAACCCCCCCCTTGCAGTGGGGGGCGGGGAGTGGAGCTGCAGCTCTTCGGGGGGGAGGGAGGTGGAGGGATGGGGGGCATAGATGGGTGGGTTTGTTGGGGGCTCTTTGTGTGTGTAAGGGGTGTGGGGGTTTG